GATTGAAGCAAGACGGCAGCTGGCCCGTGGTTGTGGTGGCTGGCTGAAGCTCATATATTGAATGATCGTATGCAAATCTCTTCCTACAGATTGACAAGTACTGTGGAGATGCTGCAGGGGCAGGTGGACACGCTAACTGCTCGTGTGGAGGAATTGCGCACTTTGGAAGAGCTCAGGGTTCGCCGAGAGAAGAAAGAGAGGAGAAAGACTGTGCACTCGTTCCCCTGCCTCAAAGAACTCTGCACCGCTCCCAGGTACTTCCCGATTTATTCCGTCTGCAGTGGAGTAATGTTGTGTCATTAAAAAAATGTGTCCACAGGGAAGAATGTCACGGGAAGCAATGTTTCACCATGGATAAACGGCCGTTTCCAAGAAAGAAAGAACAGAATGAAAAAGACCTTTGTCAGGGCGGCACCATATTTAATTTCTGACAGGAATGAAAATGCGGCTGTGAGGGATGGAAGTAGTGTGTTCAATGAACCAAGTTCTGCCCAACATTTTTCATTTTTCAGAAATCTGGATGTCAAAATACAGAAGAAAGATCTGTCATTACGTCCATTACATTAGACTTTAAAAATGTCTAACCATGCAACATTATTGTTGTCTCTGAAACCCCAAGGTTCTGTTCCATCAATGTGTCGTGTTTGGTTTGGTTTTTCTTGTGCAGGTACGAGGACGGCTTCATGGTATCTGGCCCGGGCAGCGGTGACCTACAGGAGTGTCAGCCCACTGATGAAGAGAATGAACATCTGCGTGTGATGGTGTCATCTTTGCGCGCTGCTGTGGCGGCCGAACGCGGTCGGCGTGAGGCCGCAGAGCGAGAATGTGCCGCGGTGCTACAGGAGTTTGAGCGCCTGGAACAGCGCCTCATGGGGGCCGAGAATTGCCAGCGGCGCGTGCACGAGCTGGAGGCGGAGCTCCAGGAGATGCACCAGCTCCGCAAGTCCCGAGCCTGCCTGCTGAGCGGAGACGAGGGCCTGGAGCAGACTCTGCTCAACTGCGCCCCCGAGACGGACACGCCAGATGATGCAGTTATGGCTGGAATGCAGAACGGGGATGCAAATGATGGAGCGGCACCCGTCCGGAAGAGTTGCAGTGATACAGCTCTAAATGCCATCTCTGCAGTCGATGCCTCAGGGAGACGCAAAGGCAGCTACGCCCTTCACGCCAACGGCGTCCGGAAGAGGGGCATGTCCATCCTCCGAGAGGTGGATGAGCAGTATCACGCCCTTCTGGAGAAGTACGAGGAGCTGCTCGGGAAGTGCCGGCGCCACGAGGAGAGTCTATGCCACGCTGAGGTTCAGACCTCCCGACCCGTGTCCAGGGACCCATCCATGAAGGAATGCCGGGCTGCAGAGCCCCAGCAGCCTCCCACTCCACCGCAGACGCCCTCGACTCCAGAGGCCCTGGAGGGCATTAGCCGACAAGTGGAGGCTGTGGACAAGCGGCTGAGCCAAAACACTCCAGAGTACAAAACTCTCTTCAAGGAGATCTTTTCCCGCTTACAGAGGTCCAAGAGTGACATAAACGCCACTAAAGGGAGGAAAAGCGGAAAATAGCCCATTTTGCATTTAAAATTCGTGCCACTGCTTTCCTTCCCTGGTCTTTCATGTAATGTCTTACATTTTTTTTTAAACTAGTCAGAAAGATGTTCAGATACATCTGTTATTTAGTACTACTCACCACTGAATTATTTGGTGCCACTTATCAAGAGAAAAGTCGTGGTTTTCTGGACAATATGAGTGTCGTGCTTTTGCCTGGTTGGCCTTTTTTGGGGGTAGACCATATTACTCATATTACTGAACACTCCTATTACTGAACACATCGGTTTAACTGTAATCATATTCACCTTAAAGTTAATCAAGCACGATGCTTATCTTTGCTGATTATTTCCTTTCTCACATGTATTACATGTATAACCACAGCATTATGTAACCACTTTTGTTCAATATTAAATCACACTTTGCGTTATAAGATTGTTTGATACATTTATTACCTTAAGCATGGCTGAATGAGAGGAGTGATCAGGATGGATCTGCTGTATGGTCGTCTAGATGGAAACCCTTGTTCCATGAGAAATTGCAACATTTAAAAACAACCCTACCCCTAGTCTTAATGTACTGCCCACAGACTGACCACCCACCTGATGCACATTTCACACAAAAACTGTCCTGCAATAGCAGAAAATCACTAGTGCTAATCTTGCTGGCTTTATGTAACGTTTGGGAGTTTGGGTGAATGAGTTCACCAGGAACTAAAGGTGTCACAAGGTACTAGATTGCTACAATAAGCACAAAGCAGCACTAGTCATTGAACTTGCTACAGTTTATCAGGTTAGTTTCATCAAGTCTTATTCAGGAGATATTCAGAGTGTTTTAGGCACTTAATAGAGACACCAACAAGCAGAACTTGGAAGAGTTTGTAGTAACTGGTACTTTCACTACCAGATATACTGATCACAAAGTCTCTACATATTTGTTTCTACATCAGCCCATTTTTGGTGTTGTCAACCAGTGTCAGCCCACCCCTCATAAAGCATACTTCCCTTGTCTGCTTGCAGCCCAATTTTTGTGTCTGCGTGGACAACAGGTCCAGTAGGTCAGGGATAGGCAACTCTGGTCCTGGAAAGCCAGTGTCCTGTGGAGTTCAGTAGCCCCTCACTGCAGAACAAAGATCCAGGGGGCGGGGTTGGATCCACATCTAGGGATGGAGATGGTAGGTTTAGGGTGAGATGGGTGGGTTTAGGGATCAGGGGGTGGAGACGGGTAGGTTTAGGTATATGTAAGGTGGGAGGAGTTGGATCTGGATCCAACCTCGCTCCCTGGATCTTGTGTTCTGCAGTGAAGACCATCTCATGGAGTTTAGTTCCATCCATCCAATGACAAACATTGTGAATGAACCTGTTCAGTGCAAGTGCACTATCTAGTGCAGGGATAAGTAACTCCAGTCAAACAGATCAGGGATTGGAACTCAAATCCACAGGCCTTCCAAGATCTGCGTTACCCATCCCTGCACAAGGTAGTACACTTGCACTGAACTGGCCCATCCATGCTCATTGTCAATGGAGTTTACTTTGATTTTCAGTGTTGACTGTCAAGCACACCAGCCATTCAAGTAAACCAAACTGCAACGTGGACCAGACCTTATGTTTATAATCAGGACGTCTAAGCTTGGTGGCACCAAGCCCTAATAATGAAGTTTTACAGATCAAGGCTAACCATCTAGACATCACCCTGGTGAAGTAAAACAAAAAACCAATGGTACAGCATTCATGTTGGTAAATGGGAGACAAAAGAAACCGTGTGTTCTGAACACTTTAATGTTGACACAGGTGAACAGTAATCTCCAGCTATTATAGAGATAAGTACAAACAGATGAAGACAGAAGCAGCATTCTGGACCAGCACAACAAAGCAGGCAATGTTGCAACAACAACGTTGCAGGCATTGTCGCCAAGGGAAGAAAAAAAAAACAAGCGTGTATAAAACAGTACAGTTATGCAGGAGCACATCCTCTCTTGTTTGAACATTGAGGTTAGATTACATCTGGACTAGAGCTGAGAGTTTAGAATTAGGTTCACTCCAGATTTGTCCCACTACAAATGCACCTCCTTTAGAGTCCTGACTTTCTTCTTTCCATTAGGTTAACACAGAGAGTAGCTCATACTCATCAATACTGGAGGCACAGTCTATGGTGTTGGTAATTTTTCAGTTGAGTTGTTCAATACTTGAGATCTGTTAGTGAAAACAGCCCTTTTCTGCTTTTTAAAAAAGTCCTAACTCGCATTAACCTCAAGCAAAGGGCACATTCTGCAAATGAAGCACCAGTTTTTGGAAAAGCGGGAGGTGATAACTGGAGTGGGGGAAATGTTCCCTTTGCTTCAAGGCTCACCAACTTCTACTGGCCTTCAAGTTTGGTCCATCCTGAATCGAGCCAATTGAACAAGGCAGCAGGTGTGACCGCCAGTCCCATGAGGGAGCAAGAGTCGGTAAACCCCCCCCCCGCCTCTTAAGGACAAAAGATCTGATTGGATTTACACCTAGATGCTAAGAGGCAGCTCCTAAATGTCTTGCTACAGGAATCTTTTTTTTTAAGGCCACATGGCGATGAAATGGTTAAACAAAAACCCCACGTCGTCATAGCAAGGCAAGGCTGATTCTTAGTACAGCTCCCCTAGTGGACAGTATGTTCAGATCCTGTGAACCCTACATAGCTAAAACTATATTTGGACACACGCATTCATACCGAGAGCCTAGTAAAGACCTGCGCCGCCATATCGCTAACATTTCTACAGTTACCCATGCTACGCTAACCCTAGGCTCATCTCAAAGGCATCGACACGTTCCCTCTGGGCAAAGGCAAACTTTTGAGTTGTGAGGGAATGCCAGTGGAAAAATATCAGTAAGTGGCACCTTCTCCCATTTCACTCATAAAGGCAGATCATGGTTAAAAAGAAAACAAGGAATGACGCAGAAAGGAATGACGCGGGATAAACAGGGGGAAGGGTTTAGGACACAAGAGGAAGACGGGGGGTGGTGAAGATTACTTATAACAACCATGTCAATAGTATTCATGAGGTTTTTGGAATTTTTTTCCCCTCTGTTTTTACTTTTATATACAAACAAACAAACCAAAACACAAAATATGGATTGTGCACGTTTTTGTTTGTTTTCACACATATAC